TGGATCCGTCCTTTCTGCCAGACTTGCAGGCCGGACTCGTGTCAACGCAGAGCCAGCAGGGGGCAGCAGAGGACCACGCAGACCCACGGACCAGCCCGCTGGCTGCTTGGAGGCCCTCCCCATGCCTTCGGCTCAGGTCATGATCCCTGGGTCCTGGGATCGAGCCCCGCATCGGGCTCCCTGCTGAGCAGGAAGCCTGCTTCTCCCTCTCCCTCTGCCCCCCCCCCCCCCCCGCTTGTGCTCTTTTTCTCTCTCTCTCTCTGACAAATAAATTAATAAAATCTTTTTAAAAAGACCATGTGGCAGGCTGAATAAAGTTGTGTATGTGCTAACGCCCTGTGAATGTTACCTTACACGGCAGAAGGGACCGAGCAGGTGTGATTGGTGAAGGATCCTGAGATGGGGAGATTATCCCGGATGACCCCTCTGGGCCTGAAATATAATCACAAGGGCCTTTGTGAAAGGGACCCAGGGGGAGAGAAGGAGCTGTAAGAAAGGAGACAGAGAGGGCGCCTGGGTGGCTCAGATGGTTAAGAGTCTGCCTTCCGCTCGGGTCATGATCCCAGAGTCCTGGGATCGATTCCCGCATCGGGCTCCCTGCTCCTTGGGAACCTGCTTCTCCCTCTGCCTCTCTCTCTCTCTCTCATGAATAAATAAATAAAATCTTTAAAAAAAAAAAACAAAAACAAAAAAAAGAAAGGAGACAGAGATTGAAGTGATACTGGACTCTAAAGACGGAGGAAGGGCCCCAAAGCCAAGAACCCACGGAGTCAGAGTGACGTGATGGGAGAAAGACTTCACGGGCCCTGGCTGGCGTGGAAGACAGAAAGAAGCCACGAGCAGAGCCCAGAAGCTGGAAAGGACAAGAGCCCAGATCCTCCCGCAGAACCTCCAGAAGGCGACCCAGCCCCACCGACACCTTGATTTTGGCCCCGTGAGACCCATTTCGGACTTCGGACCTCCCGAACTGGAAGCGAATAAATTCCTGTTGTTTTAAGCCACTACACACTTGTGGCACCTTGTTACAGCTGCCACGGGAAATTAATGTAGGGGATGAGGACGAATTCGAAGGAAGGAAAGTTGCATCTCCTGCTGACTCAATACGCCAATACTCTGGGGATGTTGAAATCCCCAGACCTCTCAGGACACCCTCATCTCCTGCTTCTGAGAAGGTCAACCAGGTCAAGGCATGGGCAGGGTCGGCCCCAGCACTGGCCACTCTGGTGCAGAGTGTCTGCCTTCCGCCCCTCTTTTCCAGCAACCCCTCGTCAAACCCCAGTATCTGTTCTCTCCTTTTCCTCAGTAATAGGGTTTTGAACCAAGAGCATGGCTGCTGAGCAGGAAAACTACATTTCCCAGATTGCCCTGCAGCTCGAGCTAGCCATGTGACTAGTTCCCAGCCAATGGGGTATGAGCAGAAGAGACGGCTGCACACAGTCCCTAAGTCACACCCTTAAAGGGAGAGCATTCCCCCTTCCCAGAGGCTGAAGATGTGGTGGTGAGAGCCATCTCGGATCACATAGACAGGGGCGCACAGAGCCAGGTTAGAGGGAGCTGGGGCAGGGAGAGCAACGGGGACAGAGCCACCACGCCAGGTTAGATAAGTTACCTGGGAGAGAAAGACTCCTCTCTTGTGCAAACTACCATTACTTTGGGATTCTTTGCATCCACGTCCTTCTAAAACTTGATTCATACAACCCCCACCTTCATGACGACAGTATTGGGCGCTTGGGTGGCTGTCGTTAAGCGTCTGCCTTCGGCTCAGGTCATGATCCCAGGGTCTTGGGATCGAGCCCCGCGTCAGGCTCCCTGCTCGGTGGGAAGCCTGCTTCTCCCTCTCCCACTCCCCCTGCTTGTGTTCCCTCTCTCGCTGTCTCTCTCTCTGTCAAATAAATAAATAAAATCTTTAAAAAAAAAAAAAGACGACAGTATTTTTTTAAGAGTAAGCTCTCTGAGCCTGATTGCTCACTTAGTATCAACCCTGATATGGACGGAATTGCATCCCCCAAAATGTGTATGTTGAAACCCTAACCCTCCCTGGGATTGTATTTGGAGACAGAACCTTTAAAAAGGGAGGGGACACGGCAAAGCATGCAGGCTTTTAAAGGCTTTCACCCAGAAGTGATACGCCCACCCACATCTCCTTGGCCAAAGGAAGGCGCATGATACACTCTAATGTCAAGAGCGCTGGGCAGGTGCAATGCTACCATATATGCAGAATAGGGGAAATGGGGGTGCCTGGGGGGCTCAGTTGGTTGAGCGTCTGCCTTTGGCTCAGCTCATGATCCCAGGGCCCTGAGATGGAGCCCCTCGTCGGGCTCCCTGCTCAGCTGGGAGCCTGCTTTTCCCTCTCCCTCTGCTGCTCCCCCTGCTCGTGCTCTATCTCTCTCTCTCTCTCATAATCTCTCTTTCTCATACTCTTTCTCAAATAAATAAAATCTTAAAAAAAAAAAAAAGAATAGGGAAAACCGATATGCACGAACAGCCCAATCAATACACCATCATGACTCACACCTGGGCCCACATTCTCAACTACTATGTCTCCCTGAGAAAACTTCCCAGGAAGACCTGCTCTCCTCCACCTCTTCATTCAATGACTCATTCATTCATTCAGCAGGTGATGGACCAGGGTGGTGGGCGCGGCCAGGGACGAAATGCACAGAGCCAGAAGATATTTAGAACAAAACATTGACAGAATTTGGTCCTGGGTGAGATGTCCGGGGATGAGGGAGGAGGATGTGTCACAAACGTGTTCGTTCATCAGCTCAACAAACATTTATTGATCACCTGCTGTGTGCAGTTGTTATCACCAAGGACAAAACAGAGATCCCTGCCCTCAGAGAACTGACAACAAATGGAATCAAACATAATTTCCAGGGGAGTGAAGTTATGAAGGAGAATGAGCGGGTGCCGAGAAAGCTGGGGGCGGGGCTCGACTGGGGGACCCCTGCCCCATGTCTGGCTTGCTGATGGAAAGCAGGGGCAGTGGCGGCTTTCACAGTGCAAGAGGGTCAGGTTTGCAAGGAGGGAAAACGTGTCCACGTGAAAACTTGTACACAAATGTTCACAGCACTGCTCATAATAGCCAAAAAGTGAAAACAACCCAAATGTCCGTCAGTGGGTGAGTGGAGAAACAAAACGTGGTGTATCCAGATAGTGGGATATAGTCCGACCATAAATATGGACCGAGGTACTGGGCCATGCAACGACGCGGATGAACCTTGAGGACATGATGCTGAGTGAAAGTAGCCAGACACAAAAAGTTACATATTGTCTGAGTTCATTGATGGGAAATGTCCAGAACAGACAAATCCATAGGAACAGGAAGCTCAGACGGCTGAGTGGTTGCCAGGAGCTGGAGGGACAGGGGGATGGGGAGTGCCTAATACGGGGTCGAGTGTTTCTTTTGGGGGTGATGGAAATGTTCTAAAACTGATCATGCAGATGGTTGCACAACCCTATGAACATATTAAAAACACTGAATTGTACACTTTAAATGGGTGAATTGTCTGGTATGTGAATTATATCTCAATAAAACCAAGAAAGAGAAGGGAGGGAGAGAAGGTGGGTGGGAGGGAAGAGGGCAGGTTTGGGAAGTCGGTTGTGAATTCATTTCGGTGTGTTGGCAGAAGGCAGCTGGAGACCCGGGGGGCGGCGGGGGTGGGGGGACAGTGAACATGGGTGCACCCTGCAGCATGGTCGCCCCAGAAATGTCATCTTTTATCACTGGTTGGGATTTAAGTTGATTGGATCCGTCCTTTCTGCCAGACTTGCAGGCAGGACTCGTGTCAACGCAGAGCCAGCAGGGGGCAGCAGAGGACCACGCAGACCCACGGACCAGCACACTGGCTGCTTGGAGGACCTCCCCACCCCACCTCCGGGCACCTGTCCCCAGCCTTTGCCCCTTTGTTTACCCTTCTGAGAGCCCAGAGAATGCACCCAGCTGCCCAGACCCAAAACCTGGGCTCCTCCTTCCCTCAGGGAGGGGCAAACCCCAGAACCTACCTCCTAGGCCCCCTGAGCTTGGGATCTCTA